AGAGTGAAGCAATTAGCCCACTCCCCACAGCGCCCCCTCCTGGTCTCCAGCAGCTTTTCAGGGTTGTTGTACCTGCCGATGGAATTAAAATAACAAAGCCAGTTATCGACACGGCAGAACGATGTGGTGGAACCTTGGCCAATCGCGCCAAAAACAAAGCACGTCCGTGTCGGACCTGGGGAACCTCGTGGAACGCTGGCAGGAGGTGCAGTGGTGCTTCTCCACCCGGGAGGCGTCCCAGCGTAGGTCGTCGGCCGAAGGGGGCAGCGAACCCATGGACTGGGTCATGCCCCCGCAGCGGCTACAGGGTAGGCAGTTCACCCAGGAGAAGAAGTCTCCTTTGAACCACCGCAGCAGCTCCAGCAACAGCAGGTCATCCTCCGTCAGATTGCAATCTTAAGATAAGAGTCATTCAAAGGTGTGTCACTGTCACTTTAAATAAGCCACCAAGAGTCACAAAGGAAATCACGGGCAAATGGGATGGTGATATACACAGTACTGCATATCAGGCATTGTATTACATCACAATATAACATGAGAGCATATACAAATTAATAATAACACCACAAAAACTAACATGAATTAGTTCTTCAAAAAGTTATCAATATCTTGTTGGATGGGTAGAAGAATACCATGTCAGGTCTTACACTGCTCCTCAAGGACGTCCCAGTCACCCGACACACGCTATATGGATAAACGTATTGGGACGCCTGGCCATTATACGTGAAGGAACTTTTAGGACATCCTATTCTAAATTCATAGGCATATAGGTCCTTTGCAGCTAGCTAGCTTGAGCTCAGGACTCTGTGTGGGCCAGTCAAGTTCTTCCACATCAAACTCAACAATGTCTTTAAAGACCTTGCTTTTTGCACTGGGGCAGAGTCATGCTGGAACAGAAGAGGACCTTCCTCAAACTGTTCCCACGAAGTTGATTTGTCCAAAAAAATCATTAAGAGTTCTCTTCACTGGAACTAAGGGGCCAATCCCAACCCCTGAAAAACAACCCCATACCATTATCCCTCCTCCACCGAACTGTACAGCTGGCACAATCCAGTCAAGACCAGTGCATCAGACTGCCAGACAGAGCAGCCTGATCTATCACTCCACAGAACACATTCCCACTGCTCTAGGGTCCAGTGGCGGCGAGCTTTACACCACTCCATCCGATGCTTGGCATTGCTGTTGGTGACGTGATGTTTGCATGCAGCTGCTCGGCCACGGAAGCCCGTTCCATGCAGCTCCCAGCGCACGGTTTTGTGCTGCAGTTAATGTCAGAGGAAGTTTGGAACTCTGCTGTTATTGAGTCAACAGGGCACTGGTGACCTTTGGGCACTTAGCAACCCCACTCTGTTATTTGAGGTGTTGTTCTTAAATGCTTCCTCTGCAATAATATCAGTTACAGATCGTGGAATATAAAACGAAGAAATTTCACAAAATTACTTATCGCAAAGGTGACATCCTATGACAGTTCGACACTTCACCGAGCTCTTCAGTACGACCCATTCTGTTTCCAAAGCTGACTGCATGGCTAGGTGCTTCATTCTATACACCTGTGACAATGGGTCTCAATGCAACACCTGAATCTAATGATAAAGAGCTTTGTCAATACCTTTGTTCATATAGTGTATTAGTTACATTTCACCATCAGCTCACTTAACTAATTGATTTAGTTTTAAAAAAAGAGCTAGTGTGGCTTTTTTGATGAGCTAAACAAGGTGCTTTAGTGGTTGACTCAAAAAATACACAGGTGTGTTGGACAGTTACTGCAAATACTGGGGTGATTTTAGGAGAGGTTCTGTAATGGCGAAGCTGACACACGTTGACAGACGCAATACCATGGTTTTACACCGTTATGAAAATCATTTAAACAGCGTTTTCTTTCACCATCTCAGTAGGGTTGGACCAAGTGACAATGCACGGTACTTTACATCCAACTAAGATAACCACTTATCACATGTAACCTAGAGACAATTCCAGCAAACTCAGGCCAGATTATATACACAAATACTTCAATACCTTTGGAGATAATGACAGAGTCTGCAGTAAGACAGTAACGCTTCTATGCAAAGCGTCCAGTTTGTGCCACACAAAAACAAACTCCACGGAAGACAGATCACCCCCACCCTGAGCAGAATCATGATGTGAGCAAATTTAAAGTAGTCATATTTTTTTGAGAATAAAACCGCGCAGAGCTCCAGGTTAACAGGTAGGTGCCAGAAGGCATAAACAATTTTCCACTGAGCTTCACCATCTGTCTACAGTTATGAATAGTCCCTTTTTATTTTTCCCCAATATGAATAACAAAGCATGTTGTGGAGCTCAAATGTGATTAAATACAATTTTTCAAATAGCCTAGTGTTCACTCAGCCCTACGTCCACTGGCCATTAGTGATGGACGAAATGGCACTTCATGAACCATTTGCTATATTTATTGACCCCACTAGATGGCGCTCTTGGTTTGCTTTGAGGCGTGCTTTGGTGCTCTCTATTCAAAAAAGCGCACATCTACTGAGTCCAAAAAAGTTCAGCAAATGGTTCATGAAACTTGTCCATCAGTACTGGCCACGTCGTTCCGATAGATTCATCCCTACCTGGATCCGACTTCCTGGCCTGCTCCAGCTTCTCCTGGGACGCGCTCTGGAGCTGAGTTTGTGGGATGCAGGCCAGGGCCTTCTGCTGCAGGGCGGGGTTCTCATACACCATGACATGCTGGCTGTTCGCCTGCACTGTCCTGAAGAAGCTCATGCTGTTCTCCTGCTGTGGGGGGGGACAGGGAGTCGCGTGAGACTCAATGGCGTGGCACAATTCACGATTTCTGAGAGGAAGGAGGGCGATCCGGCAGCCAGATGGTCCAGGTCGGCTATTCTGGTCAAGATTCTCAAGCCATAAACTGAAAATGTGCTTTATGCAGGTTGTCGTGACCCATTTCCCTACTTTGGAAATAATGGACTGATGCATTGATTGTTTGGATTTAACAGGCTCTTAAATTAACTGACCTCTTTGGAGACCCTACAATAACTTTCTAATAATTTTCTCCCCATCCCCCCCCCACAATTTTTTTTTACCTTCCCCTGGGATGGAATGAACGTTATGTGAACCACAAAAACGGGAATCACAAGCTTTCAGGTTCACTAACAGGAACTGGTTGCTGTAAAAACATGTCAAAAGCATTACCACAGGGACTGCGTGTGCGGCTGGCTGGACGGCCAGAGGTCTGACGGAAGGGGAAGGGGCTGGCACTCTGTCAGTCAGGCTGGCTTGGGATTGGCTGCCGATGGGGGCGGCGGCTTCAGAAGCCTGCCCCAATTGGAGCCTCTGCTCCCTCTCCACTGCTATGGACTCCCGGATCCGCCTCAGCTGCTCCACAGAGGCCGTCTTCGGGAACACTAGATGTGTTTCAGCCTGGAATGACATTAATGACACATTATTTGACATTTCAAAACATGCTTGATCAGTGGGCGTTTGTCACATACACAGAACACTGTCCAAGGTATCATAAAACAGTTCTAAATAAACATGCTTTTCTTCATGCACATTAGAGATAATTCTGCATGCTAGAACAGCATCTTAAACTAGCATTCCCTCTTTATTAAATCAAGATTCTTTAAAGAATCAAAACTTTAAACATTCTGTTAGTCCAGCTATTAATTCTCTAAATACCTTACATCTTAGATATTCGGTGTATATAAAAGTTTTTAATGCAACTCTTTAGTATTATGGAGCTTCTGGGTTTCCTATATATTCACACATTAATGTCAGTAAAATTCCTTAAAATGACCTCTTCGAATCCCATCTCAAAGAGACACTCCACAGCTCCTCGGATAGGCAGAAGCCTGGTAGAAAATGTGGGGTTTCCGATCCGTATAGATCTGTATTTCTCTTCGTTTGGATTCCTTCCATGTGGAAAAATATACAAATGGTACTCGCGTCAAACCTTATCGGGGTACATTTATTTGCTCACTAGAAATACGGAACTTGACTGTTTTATTAGTCTGAGCTTAAATATCTATATTTGCTTCGTAATTAATGCACTCTGCTCATCATGTAATAAAAGCAGCACGAATATAATGGTGTATAGCATGCACCAGTGCTGTTACACGCAGGAACAACAAGTGTCGCATATTCTTTGATTCAGTGTCAGTACAAACGCTCCAGCTAGGACGGAGAAACAATAATTATCAAGGAGACCATTCCTGAGGTTTCATACCCTCGGGAATAAAAGAACATAATTTTGCTCATTCCATTATTAGGTGAGAGACAGCTTATCGCGTATTTAAAGCGGTCTGCATCCACAAATATTACCGTTAGACAGACAGACACAGGTCACTGCCATTAAGAGCGAGGTCGGCACAGTCCAAAACGCGGTACATTAAACGTAGTACATTTTTCCTTTTCAAAATGAATGTAAACAGGACTGCATAGCTAAAACGAAGAAACCAGCTAGTTGTTTTTGAGTGCTATCTATCAGACCAACTCTGTACATCTTCTGTGGAGATGACACGGCACAATGTGGCGAAATGAAACCAAATCTGTTCATAACACACCATGACCGAGACTCAAATCGAGGATTACCTAAGAATGTTGTCAGCATAAGTCAGCAACAGTTTTGAGGCGTCCAAGAAAACGTCGTTGGGGTTTTCGCACAGTGCTGAGACCCCCTGAAATTCAGCCATGGTACCACGGCTCTAAGAGACCAGCCGCTCCGCGACACCTTTCCGCTTCGCTCTTCCTCGTAGCAGACTGTCCGACTCACGTTATTATGAGCCAGGTGGCCGTCAGTATGCCTGAACAAAAAAACATCAACATATCATTCGTTTAATCATAAATTGAAGTAAGTTGTCTTTAGTTGTAGCAAAAAATATTTTAGTAAAGACATAACTATTACATGCTAATCTGTTTTGGTGAATATGATCGATATTTTACGCAAAGAAAAAGGCAAACGGATGAGGGTTTCTAAAGCCGAAAAGTGCCTCTGGTCTAGGTCGCGATTATGACCGTGGGTGTCTGATGAGTTAAACGTGTAGTGGCTTTGCGTAACCGTCGTCTGCCTAATCTGTATGTATTATCTTTTAGAGCTAGCTGATTGACTAGGTTATTAGCTAATTTAGCTGATTTGTTTACGTTCCGTTAATAGCTAAAAATATAGTGAAGCGATGAATCAGGTTTTTTTTTTCCATAATCCTTGTTAATTTTGTATGTGTTATGGCATTCTCTGGATTCGTCGATGTTGACTAGCCTAACTACAAATACAAATTAATTGTATTAGCTAACTCTGCCAGTTTTCGTAAAGTATTTATTAAATATTATACCCTAAATAAAAATAAATATGAACTAATTTATCTTTCAGAAATGGTTTTATGACACCACAGTGAATGTCAACATGCATGTCGTTTTATTGTCACGCTGGGAAAAGTTGCTTATGAAATTACCCAAGTCAAAACTCTTAAACGCAAAGGCTTTCATGTGTATGAACTCCCACGTGAGGCACTTCAGCGCGCCCCCTCCTGCCAGGTCACGGAGGCGTGTGGTAATCACGGGGATAGGACTCGTCTGTCCCCTTGGGTCCGGGACCACTATACCCTGGGAGCGCTTGATCCGTAGCGAGAGTGGAATAATCAGTCTGGACCCAGAGGAATACAGGACTGTTCCCTGCAAAGTGGCAGCGTGTGTTCCTAGAGGGGACGGCGATGGGGAGTTCAAGGAGGAGAGGTTTGCCTCACGGGTGGAAATCGGCAGCATGTCCCCGGCCAGTGTGATGGCACTGGCTGCGGCAGATCTGGCACTGAAGGACTCGGGGTGGTACCCCACCAGCCCTGAGGAGCAGCTGTCCACGGGGGTGGCTGTCGGGATGGGCATGGTACCCCTGGATGAAATCTCTCGCACCGCCAGCTTGTTTCAATCTAAAGGTTACAACAAGGTCAGTCCTTTCTTCGTGCCCCGGATCCTGCTCAACATGGCCGCCGGGCACATCAGCATCAGGCACCGTCTGAAAGGCCCCAACCACGCCGTGTCCACAGCTTGCACCACGGGGGCACATGCCGTCGGCGACGCCGCCAGGTTCATCACTCATGGAGACGCGCAAGCCATGGTAGCCGGGGGCACAGAGGCCAGCGTTTGCCCGTTAGCCATCGCGGGCTTTGCGCGGGCACGTGCCCTGAGCACCAGCTGGAACTCCGAGCCCAGGCTGTCCTCGCGGCCCTTTCACCCGGAGCGGGAGGGCTTCGTCATGGGAGAAGGGGCTGCCTTGATGGTGCTGGAGGAACATGGGCAAGCAGTGGCCAGGGGGGCCAGGATATACGCTGAGGTGCTCGGCTATGGGCTCTCAGGGGACGCCAGCCACATAACCTCCCCCACTGCTGATGGGGACGGGGCGTTCAGGTACCGGCCCTGTCCCGTCAGAGAGGAACACGCAGGAAGTCACCTCTCAGTTCTGCAGGACCTTGCTTTACATCTATGTAACTTTAGGGGGAAAAAAATAACGACAAACTGTTTAATTTATTTACATGGGGCGGTTCTACATGCGGGGAGTTTGCATGTTCTCCCTGTGCCAAATTGCCAGTAGATAGTTGTGAATGTGTGTTGGTTTTTATTTTATTTTATAAAAATTCATAACTGCAATGAAAAAACTAAAAATGCAAAAACACTCATATTTTGCTTGGTTACTTATGGTTATGTTTAGGGCTGGGTGGGGGTTATGGTCGTCATAGTTAGCGTTAGCATTTTTCCCATAAAGATGAGCGGTCCCCATAAAGATATGATTACACGACTGTGTGTGTGTGTGTGTGTGTGTGTGTGTGTGTGTGCACCCGCCTTGGCTCCCTGTCTTTGGTTATTCCCTGTCCTGTGCCCTTTTCTTCCTGACCCTCGTGACCGTGCATAGTGAGAATAAAAAAGGGATGGATGGATATTATTTACATTCAAAATGCCCTTTTGTACTTTTGAAATTGTCTTTAAGAAGGAGTAAGGATAGGTTACTAAACAAAATACTTTCCTTTTTAGGCCTTATGAATTTGTATGGTTTACAAGGAGTGATTTGAAGTAAAGTGACTAAACGTAACATTTGTTTGACTTTTAGGTGCATGTCTGCAGCTCTCCACGATGCTGGGGTGAACCCAGAGGAAGTGTCTTATGTGAACGCGCATGCGACCTCCACACCACTAGGGGATGCTGCTGAGAATGCAGCCATCAAAAGGCTCTTCGGGCAGCACGCTTACTGCATGGCTGTGTCCTCCACCAAGGGGGCCACAGGCCACCTGCTGGGGGCAGCCGGCGCCTTGGAGGCGGCTTTCACCGCCTTGACGTGCTACCATGCTACCCTGCCCCCCACGCTAAACTTGGACCGGACCGACCCGGAGTTTGACCTGAACTATGTGCCCTGCACTGCCCAGCCGTGGAGGACAGAGGGCCGTCGGGTCGCCCTCACTAATTCCTTTGGCTTTGGTGGTACCAATGCATCCCTGTGTCTCGCCAGCATTTAAGGGGCCGCTTCCAGGATCCGTCATTTTTGTGTCCAGGGATTTAGTTGCTGCGTAATAAACTGCTCTTTCATTTATAAATCCTCTTGAATGCTGCGCTTTGCCAGGAGTGAGTTTGAAGCTAAATCAATTCACAATTAGCAGGAATATTGAGTAAAACCAGGACAGTCTGCACCCTTGGCAGTAGATGGCAGCAATTTGCTAGATGAAGCAGCAACTTCCAGTAGACATTTACTTTATTGTCCCTCTAATACCAAAAAACATGTGAACAATGGTGCAGCACACTTGAAATTGACTAATAAACCGAGATGAACTCTTTTTGCTTTCATTTGTATTTATTTAGTCTCAAAATGTTTAGATGTCTATCAAATTAAGCTAAATCACATTAATAATATAAAAAGCTAGTTCTTATTTCTTTAGAAATGCTAGCTGTTATTATGGCTGTTGCATTTTGGTGACGACGACCAACACGACCGCGGTGCAGAGATGAAAATAGTACGACAGCTGAGGTATTTGGGACAGACTGAGTTTGCTTTCTTCCTTTTGATTCACAGACATGACTGGTCCTGTTTAATAAGGATTTATCTGTATGCTTTATACTGAGGTACCTCTACCAAAACATAAGTCATAAAATAAGTGTTTTACTAATAAATATTACTAATTGACATGAAATAAAGGGCTCTAAATAAGTAGCATAATGTAAGAGGTATAACCCTGTCCAAGATAAGTGAAGGAAAATGGACGATTAAGTAGTGAATGTGGGAAGTTGGAATGAAGCCTTATGTTGCCTGTAATGTAGAGAGATTCTCGCAGAATTATCTGTTACCACCAGATGGTGCAAAGTCCTTCTACAGAATAAAAATTATTGATTTTATTTTGTAAGCTACATGAGACTTACAGATGAAAATGTATTCACTTAATAAATGCTCATTCAGATCTGATAGGAAGTTATGCTGATTCTATGCCGTAAGAGAGGAGATAATCCACACCGCTGTCACCTGATATTCCTGCAAACTGGGCGATGTCTATTTCTGTCTCCCCAGTTTAATGTTCTGCCAGGTACCTGTTATATTGTTGGCTGAGTTTTCCTGATACTTCTGTAGCTGTTCAGGTACTGTATCAGTACGCTTGTGGTTACATAATCCGATCCAGTTACACTTCTGCAGAGCCTACAAGTAACTCGAGGAAGGAAATAAAGGAAACAGTTGAGTAAACAATGGGTATAAAACATAGTGAAAGCAGGTGCTTCTGCACACATATTTCGGGCTTAATTAACATGCTATCGTCATGTGCTAATATGCTGGACAGGCCCAGGTGCCCACTATTTAGGTTAACTTGGCATGTAAGGGGCTTGAAAGTCAGCTACTGGCAGCTGTGGATGACAGAACACACTTCTCCTCTGCTATTATTTACACCAAGATGCAAGAAAAGCAGGCGCGGACTGGGGAATTGGGGAATTTGCCCGATGGGGCTCTCTTATAAGGGCGGGGCTTCTTCCCTGACCCCGGTATTATATAACCCATGTACCCGGGGTGTCCAGATCGTTGGTTGGTCTCAGCGTGTTTCCAGGTCGATTGGAGATGGCAGGAGGTGATTAATGGCTAATGCTTTATTTCTTTGAAGGACCAAACCACCCCCCCATCCACCCTCCCTCCTTCAGCAGCAAATCCTCAGGCTGCTTTTTGTTGCCAGTCTGACCCTGAAAGGAAGTCCAAAAATTCTGAATCAGTTGGCTGCAAATGTCAACCACACTTTGAAGCATACTGTGCTGGGGTTTCAGTACGTAAACCCCCTTTTCACACCTAAAAATACACAAAAAAAAAAAAACTTTTGTGAGTAAAGTGTAGGGAAAAAAAACCCACTGGAAATGATCTACTTTAGAATGGTCATATGGTCTGATGACCCCTTTTCACACCTAAAAATACACCAAAAAAAAAACTTTTGTGAGTGAAGTGTAGGAAAAAACAACACAGGAAATGATCTACTTTAGAATGGTCATATGGTCTGATGAGTCACCATGTTCTCTATGAATGGGACAAGATGGGTAGTAGGATCTTCCAGAATGACAGTGCCTCCGTCCACATGGCACGAATGGCTGCTGATTGGTTCGATGAGCATCATGATGATGCCAACCATACGTCATGGCCGTCCTGCTCCATCTCAACCCAAATGAGCTCTTCGCGAAGATGTTGCCAAAGACAACCTTCTCCACTGCCATCAACAGAATACAAAATTTCTGAATTTCGGGTGAAATAATGTTCTTGCATTCACCCAGCAGGGTGCAGGAGAGTCGGGGAATCTACGCCATGGTCACTAACGCCGTTCATGTGTCACGCGGTGTCAGAGTCAGAGGTGAAGATCCCCCTATTTTGGCCATTGTGTATATGTGCAGTATGCGATTGTGTATGAACAAAACGATAATCACACATGACATAAGGATGCGTGCAGCTTCACAAAGCTTACAGCATAGAATGGCTGAACTCTAATTTCTGAGCAGAGCTGTGCAGAAGGGATTTCGTGCAGCTCTCATCAAATAATCATAACAACATATTATAAATATAACACTTCTAATGCAACCTTCCCAAATTCCTTTGACAGGATGGAAGTTATTTTACTAGTTATTTACTAGTACCTAGTACAGCACTTCCTGGGGACAATTTGTTCACGTAGTTCTGCTTGAAAAGGAATCAATCCTGATTTATCACTCTGTATCAAACCAAACTTTATCAAACACTGGTGTGTATTCTCTTGACACCAACATTATCGATTTCTTTGATATTTTACTGCCCACGGCTAAAGGAAGCAACTGAATGGAAAGAATATTGTTCATTAGCCTTGACTCAGAGTCCACTTTCAAGCCGGACGAGATTCTGCTGAAGGGCAGCGTGGCGGCTCTAAAGCCCTGAGGCCTCTCACCTCCGCCGTTATGCCTTCATTTCCTGCTGTGGCTCAGTTTGAGTGTTCGCCCTCTGTCCGTGTGGCCTTCCTCCCAAGATGAGTAAGGTTAGGTTAACCAGTGTTTCTAAATTTCCCTTGATAGGCTAACCTAAGCTGTATGTATGTAGGTATGTATGTATGTGTAATAATAAAGAAAAGAAGCATAAAGATGAAAAAAGATTTTTGAAAAATGAGGTAAGTATGTAACTAAAGCAACAGTATGCATATGCAAAAAGGTATATACAGCACAAATGACCTGCCATGGGTATATGTGCCCTGCGATGGACTGGCATCCTGTGCAGGGTGCCCCCTCCTCTTACCCAGGGGCTAATGAACAGGCTTGGTTAGGGGTGGTTCTCAATGCCAAGAAAGCAAAGATCGTACCTGTGACCTTGGCCAGAGCAGCCATGCTAACTTCTTCATCGTTCTCCTCTTTTCCTGGTGTGGTTGCTAACGTTTGATACAGCGTCACATTCGCTTTGACTTTCTAGAAATAATTTCATAGTTACTAATATTTGGTGGTATCATTTTGGGGAGAGGAGCCAGAAGAGGGATCTGCGGAAAGGGCAGCTTAGGGACCCCGGCACTGGGTAACCTGCCAGCGCCTCCAGCCGCAAGCTCCTGGCTTCACCACAACCCAGAGACTGATCAGCAGTTATGCAAGGCAGACAGGGAAAATTGCACTTATTGAGAACTTCTGAGAGCCAATGCGTATTAATCTTTTAGTAACGGGCGTTAAAGTCTTCTACTGCAGTAAAATGATATTAAAATAACAATGCAATGAAGCGTTTTACCACATGATGTTTCTGCAAATAAACTATAATTAGACCATTACGCTGAAATGAACAAGGGAAGACGGAGAATGGATACTTTAGCTAATGCAGAACGATTAGTCATTACATTATGAACTCTATGTACCACTCTTACTTAAAAGATCTATTTAGCAAAAAGAATCACATCCCTGCATTTTGGAAAGTGACATGAGTTGTTATAATTATTCTCCAGAGTTCTATTTGTGGAGAACATGACCCTTTAATCATTGGCTCTTGTGCAGCGTGTACAAAAACGACCATTAAACTGCAGTGCGCACTGGGTAAAAAGGTGCTTAAAGATATTATTTTCCCAAAGACAATTTGGCTTTATGAAAGGGACTATTTCCTCCTTTATAGCGTAACTATAAACAGCCAAAAGGACACTCAAGGTGCCATTAGCCTCATAGGTACTAATGTTAGAATCCTGTACAAGCAGGACAGCCACAAGCACCTCATTCTTTGCATAAAATGTCTAGTAATTGAAATTAGTTTTGTTGATTATTAATTCCTGCCCAGCTACTGAACTGCTATAGTTTTGCTGCCATGAAGTTTAATAAGATTTGACTGCAAGATGACACTTGGAAAAAAAAAAAGACTTTGAAGCGGACAGCTTCTCCTCCCGGTAATGACCGACATTCTCAGTGCGTCCTCCTCCTTTGATATCATTGCTTCCTGGGTTACGTGGCTTTTAGGTGATTTGGACATAAATGAGATAACTTTAGGTTCCACATTCTGTTATCCAGAAAAAGGTTGCATTGAGGTTGGAGGATATTCCAGGAATCGCAGCTCAGAAAGCAGGAGACACCTTGGATGAGATGCCAGTCAGATGGTCATTAAAGGCTATTTGCATTTGGTGCGACGGCCATTAAGGCATCTGGCTCCTAACTCTGACCAGGATAAATGCTTGGAAGAATGATAGATGGGATAACAACCAATCCACAACAGTTACTGGTCAATAACATCACCCAGTAAATGTATATCTTCGGACAGCATTTGTAACTGAATGGCAAAAAAATGGCTTGCTTGACACTTTTTCTAATTAAAAACATAGCAAGTTAGCTTCCTAAGTTAGAGTCTGATTTAGGTCCTGTTTGGGTTTTAGGACAGTAGCATGATCTTAGAGGGTTAAGTGGGAATAATTGGCTGTTATCTCCTTAGGGAATGAGAAGTAATTGGGAAAAAACCATCAAAGAGGGGACTGGGAGGGTGAAAGGCCGCCTTCTTCATGCGAGTCATGCTCTGCGGGCTACCCCCCCCCCAACATGATCCACACGTCGGCACAGAAAATTAAGAAGGGGTGAGGTGAGTCCACGGATACAATCAACATCCCCCGACAGCCTCCCAGCAACGCCTGGGGTGGGGGGGGGGGGGGGGGGGGCAGCCTGTGGCTCGCTGCGGTTTTGCCAATAATTTAAATCCTCGCTGCATCAGACCAAGTTCAAAGCGTGTGGCAGGAGATGCGATCGCTCCACCCCAAAATATATAGCCGGTCTGCGTTAAAGATGGAGGGGAAATTGTGTTTTTTTTCAGTTATTTAATCTACAAAATGTGAGAGAGGCCATAGCAGA